GAAACAAAAGAATCTAGAGCAGAGCCTGGCCCTTCCAGGTGCTCAATTGGCATTTATAGAATGCTAGTGGCCCAGTGCATGAATTCATGCACATTGAAAGGAAATTAATTAGAAGAATGTTTTAATATCGCTATTCGCCCTTTCTCTTTAATAGAAGTGTCAATTAAATTCATGATCAACAATGACAGATTGAAACACACACGTGCAATTGGCGCCAGCGAGAGCTTTATATGTCTCGTGCATGTGCGAGTCAACTTAGCCTTTTATAGATATAGAATAAACTTGCTTAATTAGACCTGCTTTCTGATTTAGCTAAACTTTTTCCAGCCCAGTGAAGCACCCCAACTTCTCTTTCAGGTAATTGTCAGCAACACAGCAGTAAATATCAACACAAAGCAGATTATTATTGTAGATCATGCAGGGAGAACAAAGGGTAAAATATTTAACTGCAGCAGTGTTTGACTATATTCTGCACAGTGAGAAAACCTGAAGTCATTTTCAAGGTCCACCATTTCTTACTTCTTTTCAGTCAGGTGAAGTTTCTAAGCTTTCTAAATCTCTGTTTTCTGGCTAATGAAAATAGTATTCCACAGAGTCTCCTGTCTACCTATTCCAGGACTTCTGTGAGGATCAAATGAGATGAGGCACATGAAAACGCTTCACAGACATTTGGTTAAAGTGTAAAATGTTTCCACCTGGCTATAAAGCAAGTCGTGTTCGTGGGCTGAAGAAACTGCAAGGAGGCTAGTTGCTAGGGAGAGGAAGCTGGGCGTTGCTACGTGACGTCATTACCTGGAGCCCACAGTGACCGTTTCTGAGCTGGGCTGGGGGCCGCATTTTGTGCCATGGGGTCTTGGCAGCGTTGGCTGCAATTTGGTGGGGTGTCGCTCTGGGGTGGTGGTGGGGCCTGTGTCCCACTTGGGGGAAGCTGAGTGTTGGTTTGTCTGCACCAGATGCATGGTGCCAGCTAGTGCACGTCATGGCAGCTCCTGCGTTGAGCATCTGCCCCCTGGTGGTCAGTGCATATCATCGTGACTAGTCAGGCAGTAGTAGGGACACTTAGCATATTAGCCTTTTATATATATAGATATTGTGGAATGTGGATCTATCTATCTCCAATGCAGTTCATTCACTAATCAAATTAATGTTTATTGGTCATTATATTAACTGTCAGACAATGTGCTAGCCACTAAAATTGCATTGTTGGACTCTAAGTCCTCATCCACATGGGGGAGAAAACCATTAAATAGTCACACAGTTAAATGTGGAATTACAACTCTAAGGAGAGCTGCCTGGTGCACAAGGCACTCTCAGATGTCTTTCCCTGCACCTGTTCTTCTTCCAGGATCCTCCCTCTCCTGGTGACATCTCCATTTACCCATCTCCCAAAGGAAAGTCCTGGGAGTCAACATGAATTTTCTGACAACCAGCACCCATGCCCCTTCTCACAGTGGGCAGCTCTTGCTCTCTGCATTTTCCTGGCATTTTGAATATGGTAATGGAACTAGTGCTCACAGCCCATAGGGGTACCTGCCCACCATGTAACGTGAGGAGTTGTAAAGGGGCAAACCAAAACATCTTCTCTACAGGCCCGAGATCCCCACCAGTGGAGACATTCCACTCAGGGCTGCATTACAAAGGCCTGTGCACAAGCACCCCTTGTAGGGTCATGCCACTCCAGGAGGGGCCCTGTGTGAGTACTTGGGGACTTATTCTCCTGGAGGTAGAAGACCAATTTTGAAAACTTCCCAATTTTGCCCAAGGCAGATCCGCTGGTTGGGGACAAAGAGAAGCTGTGAAAGGAGTTATTTTTTACATTGGAGAGCTGGCAGGCATACAGTTCTATCTTGCATGATTTATGTAGATTTTTTAAAATATTTGATTGACTTTTAGAAATCATTTTTCCTGAAGGAAGTCTTAGAATGCGACTCTACCTGTGACTCGAATCGTGCTCAAACTAATAACCAAGGAATATTAATCATCCCCTCACTAGACTGTGCTAATCAGTTAGTCAGGGATCATCCACTCCATGCCTGTCCAGACTAATTATGTTTCTGAATAATAATCCTTGAAATTCACAAGGGTTGTGGCAGTACCGCCACTGGGCAGAAGAGGGCGACATAACCACATTCAGCAAGTGCATTCAAGCCAGGGAGTCCTCTGGGCTGCTGGCTCTCATGAGTTTTCAGCCTTGTCAAGTACACACGGCAGTGTTATGATTCCCATTCTATAGGTGGGGAGACTGAGTCTCAATATGTTCCACAAGGTCAGACAGCTGAAAACACCAAAGATATCTAAAGTTCCAGATGGGAGGGGATGTTTGGAAGGGTCATGGGGCTGGGGGCTCAAAGCTGCCTTTGCAGAGCACTTGATGCAAAATGGAGAGAACGGTAACTGCCCAGTGCTGCTCCAGTTAAGGGGCAACGCAGGAATGTGAACTCAGCTTTCTGACTCTTAATCCCAGGCCCCTGGCTCTGCCAAGGGTGTGTAGATTATCCAGTTCTCCCGGCACTGACAGGTACAGAACCACTCACCCCACTGATTTCTGTCCTCCTTGACCTTTGTTCTTAGTCCTAGAATCAGTAAATAGGCCAACACACCAACTCTGCATGTTGCCAGAAAGGCATTGGATCAAAACCTGAAATTAGAGCCCCTGGCCTTCCTGGAAGGCAGTATGTTTGAAGAGAAAAAAACGAGGGAAGGCCCTAAGTATTACACTGGATTTCCACATGCTGGGTCAGATATACGTAAATCTCGATGATGATGACAACAATAGCAATAGTAACCAACATGTGCTTACTCTCAGCCAAGGGACTGTGCCGAGAATTTTCACCACATTATCTCATTTAATCCTCTCAAGAAACCTGTGAGGCAAGAAATATTATTTTATAAGTGAGAAGACTGAGGCAGAAAGGTCAAGTAACTTGCCCATGTTCACTTGCCAAATAGTTAACGCAGCATTACTTGTAGGCAGACCTCCTCATACACACCCTAAGGCTCCCTTATGCTGCATTCCAAGGGCCCTGGCATCTCAGGCGTGGCGACTGGATCCTCAGCACTATTCAGAAGTCCCGGTATTACCTACTCAGAGTGCAGTCTCTATGTGGATGATGGAATGACAACAATGAGGACATATGCCATTTGCACAGAAATTCCAGCATATGGAAGTTGTCATTGTCACTTCTTGTTACCCCAGAATTCAAGGTTTCCCGAAGCAGCCAGCTTAACCCAGAGGACTGGTTCACCAAGGTTATCTTTCCCCTGAGAGTCTGCAGACCAGAGAGCATTTCCATTGGTTCAGAAAACTAGTAAAACTTATTAGAAATGTTTAAAACCTTAGAAAATTAAAGTTCATTCCCCTTATGTTGAGTGGGGCAGATCACACAAATTGTGTAACTTGCCTTACACCACAGATTCCAGGCTAAGTCGACTTGTTGTCAGTAAATGTTGCTTCTGTACAGTTGGCATACTAAACAGTCGTTTTTGCCCCACTCTGGTGCCTATTTTTCATTGAGGATCAGGCATTCAGAAGGCCCATTTGAAGACAAGCCATCAAAACAAGGCCCAATACATCTAACTCTGCAGCTGCAAGCCCCAACTTCAGCCTTCCTGCTCCTCACCTCAAGGTGGCTGGGAGGGAAGGGACAGTGCCAATTGGTTCATAAATGCCAGCTTCCCTCCCCACTGCCTACTCATCTGAGGGTAGAGAGTGAGCACAGTGTGGTGGTCATTTGTACTTAGATCCTGCTGCATGAGGCATTTTCCATGAATAATGAAGACTATCTGATATATAAACCATCACATCAAAACCAGTGATGTGTGTTCCATTAAAAAAATTTTTTTTCCTCTTAAAGATTTTTAATTGATTTTTAGGGAGAGAGGAAGGGAGAGAGACACATCAATGTGAGAGAGAGACATCAATCAGCTGCCTCCTGCACACCCTGCCACTGGGGATTGAGCAACTCCGGCGTGTGCCCTGACCAGAAGTCTAACCGGCAACCTTTCAGTGCACAGGACGATGGCCAACCAACTGAGCCACAGCGGCTCAACCTGTGCATTCCATGTAAAAGCCATCCTATGGAACATTACTCTCCACCTGTGCTATATTCTGTGTCTCCTAATTTCATCCATACTTTCCTTCTTCTGATTCGTGACACGTTTGGCCCTGTGACCCTCTTTGCAGGGACCAGATCTGACTTTTGCCTTCTCTACAACATCTAATGCTTCAGTGGTAACTCAGGGAATTCCCGATTACATCACAGAGGACCCTGACACCTAATATCAACACACACCAACACCTGAAGTACTAAAGCAGAAGGAAGACATTTTTATTCTTAGATAGTCAAGAAGATTCTTTTCTCCGGAGTTATCAATACCGTCTGAGAGCTGGGCTGGCAAGAAAGCCCGGAAGAGATGCTCAGCTTTTGGCTCGAATCTCTCCGGCTCTCTAGTTTCTATAAGGTCTGGAGAATGACTTTACCCCTCCCGTTACCACAACCACATCTGCACGATATGCAGAGCGGAAGCTGCATAATTTATGAGGTGCAAGCTACGATTCAAACCAGGATTTCACAAACCAATCCCAGTGGAAAGGTAACCCGGAGAGTCATAAACTCGAACCTGAGCCCATGTCTTTTCACGAGGTTTACCCGCCCTGCCCCATGGAGCTCTTCCCCACATGGAGCAAACAGGACCCTGACCAGCCTGGAGGAACAGACCTCTCACTACTTACAGAAATCTGAACATCTGAACACTGGCCGCCACATCTGAGCTCAAGGCAGTTGTGTAAGTCAACAGAGAGTTTCCTTTAGGCAGGCTGTGGCCCTCACAACTCTAGTTTCCACACCCAGACCCTTCCCACATTTCTATTGCGCTGCCTTTGAGAGTGTCACGCCCGGAGAAGAAGGTACCAATCTTTAGATGTCCTCCCTTCCCCCACCCTTGACTAAGGAAGACACCAGAAAGGGGAGGGGCTCCCAGAAGGATGCCTGGGTGCTTACTGTGCTGGTCGCTCCTGTCCCTCGTCCCGTCCACGGTGCCGTCTGGGAGGATCCGCAGGAAGTGGCCCCCGTTGCTGCAGTAGAGAAGCTTGGGCTTCTTGTAGTTCTCCAGAGGCAGATTGAACCTCTCGGTCAGGGCCGTGAATGTGGTGACTTCCCCCTCAGCCATGGCTCAGCCGCTGCCGGTTAGGGTGCTCTCAGGGCTGTAAGAAATTGAACAAACCTGTAGAATGTTCTTCCAGCAAAGGTGCAACGTACAGGCAGGGAAAGGGAGCCTGGGGGGCAGGGCTCTGGTCGGCTGGGAACCACAGACTGGCCAGGTGATGCCCACAGTAATGGGCCCGTGTGGTGGCCGGCGGCTAAGGAAGGATAGTCCTGGCAGGAGAGGGATTGTCTGGCCATTTCTCACTTCCCATTGGACACGGCTTTGGATCAAGCTGTGTGTTTTTTAGAACTTTAAATTTAATCATTTGGCCAAGGGAAAAGAAAATAATGTGTTGGTCCCTCCTTCTGATCCACACACATCCTCAAATTAAATACCGAAGTTGCACTAAAATAACCCCCAGGGTCTGGCTGGAACCCACAAAAGCCGAGAGGCCGGCACTGAGGTTTTGCCCTCTATCCTCCCACGGTTTTGACTGGGCACCGCCAGGCCCAGGTGCAGAGATAGCAGAGAGCCCAGGCCTGAGACCCGGAGGGCTTGCATGGCGGCCTCCCACAATAGTGACAGCCGAGGGTTAATGTGTAAAGGAAAATTCTGGGTTTGCCGGTGGGAACAGAACCGGAACTGGGGAGCCGTATGTGGGGATGTTACATGGGGTTTTTAAAGGGCAAACACTGTGCCAAGGGAAGTTTTTTGAGACAGATCGTTATGAAGGCTATGCCAGTTGTTGCCTGCTTCCACAGCTCTCCACGCATCCTCATGACACACAGAGAGGGTGTCCCTTGTGCACAGGCCATCTTCATCCTAATTACTGTCTAATGAGACATACTTATGATGACACAGAAACTACCATATTGCATATTACAATCCTCTAATGTTCTCCATGCCCACTATCTACAAATTTGTAATATATTAGTGTAAAAATGTATCAATTATGCCTCTGAGGATTAAAAAGCAAAGCCAACAAACACTAGAATTTTACAGCATCTACTTGTCCCCACCATGTAGGAGAATGGCGTGCCGATGACTCAAGGACTGTACAAGGCAGAGGCGAAGAGACCAGGACCCTGACATGGAACCTTCGTAAGTGTGAGTAGATGCTGGTCGTACACATTGGTTATCAGGTGGCCTTATCATAATAATGATCATCATCATTAGCATTGTATTCTGGGCTACAAGCTGACTCAGATAATCCTCACCACCACCCTTTGAAACAGACACTAATATCCCCCCATTTTGTAAATAAAATGTAGCCAAAACGTAGAGACGTTCCGTGGTCTGTCCAAGGTCAACAGCTGGTACGTGGTGTCTCTGAGCCTCCAGACGGGGCTCTTGAAACAAAGCCCTAATGCGCCCTTACTCACCAGGAAAAGGTTCAGTGACCTCACTGATACTGCAGTGTTCTAGTCATCCCGCCCCCTCCACGGTTTCCCTCTCTGTGGTTTCAGTTACCCACGGTCAACCGTGGTCTAAAAATATTAAATGAAAAACTCCAGGAATAAAACATTTCCTAAGTTTTAAATTGTACAGCGCTCGGAGTTGCCTGATGAAATCTCACACCGTCCTGCTCCGTCCCTCCCAGGACATGAATCTCCCTTTGGCCAGCATATTCATGCTGGATACACACCCACCTGTTGTCTCTTAGTGGCCGTCTTAGTTATCAGGTCAATTGTTGTGGTATCATACTGCTTGGGTTCAAGTCACCCTTACGTTATGGCCATTCACCTAACTTCCACTACAGTATATTGGTATAACTGTTCTATATCATTATTCATTATTGTTGTTAGTCTCTTACTGTGCCCAATTTAGAGATTACACTTTATCATAGGTATGTATATGTAGGAAAACGTAGTATACAGGTATAAGGTGTGGTGCTGTCTGTGGTTTCAGGCAAAAATTATTTACTTGTGACCCAGACGTTGGTTATCACCATCACCAACAGCCTCGGCTTTCGCCCCCATGCCAACCTTGCAGTGGGGCTCCTGGTGTCGCTCATTCCCCAGCGGAACCCACGTCACTAGGTGTCAAGGAGCCCTGGGAATGTCACAGAAAGCCAGCCAGCCCCCTGCATTCTCCACACTTGCCATCCATCCACCCATCCCTGGAACAGCCTCATGGAGCTACTCCACAGAAATTAATTCCGCTGTAAATGGAGGCAACAGTTTGGATAGTTTGTCCTGGTGACTTTGGAATTAGGGATCATTTTGGAAGCGTCCATTTGTTTTCTCTGCTCTAGGCATTTTAGTGTTTCTGGTACATCTGCTATCTGCAGCCACATGGGCCAGTCTCACTAGCCCCACTTTCAGTTAATAGTTTGATGTCCCTCCACAAACCCCCAAAGAGAATTTTGCATATTCCATGTAAACATATATTTAAAGTCAGACCATCCCAAATACGCTCTTCACATATGGTAAAACTCTGTCCAGCCCTTTCACTTAGTACAATAACAGATAGAAACATAATTCTGTTTACATTGATTCCACAGGGAAGACAGCAGATTTTACCTTGCACAGCACGTTGCATTTCCTTCTCAAACCCTCATTCTTTCTTCCAGACCCTTTTCTTTCATCCACAGACCTCTATGTCTCTGTGTCCACCTCTGTTTTGTTGTGTTGTGTGTTTTTTTCTCTCTCTCTCAGCCCTTTCCCCACCCAGCCTCTTCATCTCCCTCCCACTCCACTTGCTTCTGGATCCCTTCTGATATGAAGCAATTTGGTTCTTTCAAACATGGCCCTCTTCACCCATCACCTCCCCATTAGCATAGAATAATTACAAGATACCCCTTCCTTCAAATACAACTAAGAGATCATTAATATTCTTTGTTTTATCAATTTTTTTCCAAGCACTTACTAAGTTATGTTCTTAATTTGTTGCAGGAGATAATAATTATATATTAGTGTTGCCATTTAACTGTAGAAATAGCCACTTGTAATGTCAGTCTTCAGTGGGCAGACTTTTGCTTCTTGTTGTGCCTGGGTTTTCTCAAATGGAAATCCCACGTGCCCCTGATTGTGCGTGTTAAGGAGGCCGCCCTTCTGGATCCAGCAGCCATGGAGAATCTCCATTAGGACATTTTCTAAGTGTTGGGCATGGATTTGGCTCTATTTGCATTCTTGCTTCCATCCCGTTGGGATGAAGGGGAACAGATGCACAGAAGGCGGACTGAGGTTGGAGGCACCAGCTCTGGCCAAGGACTGTACTAATGCTCCCCCTCCCGAACTTCATCACTGCGGGGCTCTCTCCAGCTAAACCACCTCTGCAGGGGCCAGCAGGCACCCCTCCTTCCTGATTACAGGGCAGCCTACGGTTATGCCAGGCTGAGACTCTGCTCTCTGCCTGCTCCCCCAGGAGGAGGGTCGGTAATGGGGTGGTTTACTGGCTTCAGATTGCTCCCATCACCCCTCAGTGCAGATCCATACCTGGAAACCCGATGGGGACCTGCTGACTCCTGAAAATAAGCTTTGAGTCAACATGAAATTGATAGACTGTGGAAGCAGCATTTATGAATCAGCTGACACTTAAAAAAATGAAATCCCTTTTGTTGCTGAAGGAAACCCCAGAGACACGAAAAGCGCCCCCCCCTTTTTTTTGCCTTATTACAGTTTACCAATATTTTAAGCAGTGGTTGGTCCACAGTTCCTTGCCAATCCAGTATTTGTTAGAGGATAGGAATAAAGGAAGTCTATGAGGTGATAAAACCATTAGGCAGCAGCCTTAGCAAGCCCTTGGGGATTTACACGAATTGCTCTAATAAATGAATCCATTAACTCCATGAAATCAGGCATTAAGCATAATGGAAATTTATAAGCTCTGCTTCTTGTTATTACTATCTTCTTGTTGGCTGTTGGGGGAAGGAGTTATGTCTCTCTCTCCCTCTCCCTCTCTCTTCCTCTGTCCTTCCGTGCGCGCGTGTGTGTGTGTGTGTGTGTGTGTGTGTGTGTGTGTGTGTGTGTTGGGAGATGTCAAAGATCAAGTGGACTTCATGCCATTGTTGTGTGCTAAGCCCAGCCCTTTGAAATTTGGGGCACTAGTGAGATTTTGGGAAAACCTGAAGATTTTCTTATTAGTGACACCAAAGTGAAGAGAACACCAAGCCTTTGGAACATCCGTGTTAAAGGCTGACATATTTTGTCAGCTGTAGCTTTTGGAGGAGAGCGTGAACTCTCACACACGAACAGGATGCTAAGTGTACACCCTTGCCCAGGAATACACGGTCACTTTTCAATGTGGTACAGTGAGCAACACCGTACAGCTCCTTCGATGCACTAATCGGCTCTGGGAACCTGGGCGAGTCATTCACTCCTTCCAAGATGTGTCCCCTAACATTCCCCACCCTGCCTGGGCTCAATAGTCATGACAGCACTTGGAAAGAATAGAACTGTGACCTGACCGGTAGGAGATATGAGTAACTGGTTATGTTGAACCAGTCAAGGCTTGATGTGGTCTAGGTCAGCCCTGACTGAATGCTTAATTTAAAGTAATTTTTAAACTGGTATGAAACTATAATTTTTTAGTCCCTCTCATATTTGGCAGAAATTAGCTAAGCTCCCCAACCCCCCCCCCCACCCCCAATCATTTAAGCCACCAAGATAGCAGAGAAATGAAGGAGGCAAAGGGAAAGCAGTGTCATGTGTGGCAGAATCCCGGTCACCATTTCAGGCTCAGTCCTCAGTTTACCCACAGTTATTGAGGTGACCTTTGTGAAGCCTGCTATGGGAACAAGACATTTGTGCTCAGTTTGACCCTGGCCACTAAGCTGGAAGGGAATACTCACAGTTCTAAGAATCAAGGGAAAACAAATGCTGATTTTTTATTTTTGTTTTTATCCCCTGTCACTGCTTACACAATGCAGAATACCCATGAAGGGAGATATTTTGCAAAATATATAAAGCCACTGAAGGTAGATGCACAGGCATCTGTTAAGGTGGTAATTGGATGTGTCCGCAAACCCAGCATATGTAAAACAGGCCTCACCTTTGGTTCCAAATACACTTTAAGCCTTCCCTCCCTATCTCTATGAATGGCATCACCTCATAACTT